TTCTGACTGGGCTCTTTCCATCCTCTGTTATAAACAAATTTCTTAGCGGAGAGCTCACCCTACCCAGATGTTCGTTTTATTGCATTTAGCGAGTTCATCTGTAAGCGGAAAATCTCTTCATTACCCGGCTTACGTTATTTGGGAGAACTGGATATTGCATTCATTTAATTAGGAAAAACCCAGCGGCAATTAGCTCGCTTGTGGCTGCAGAGGGGTGGGCTTGGAGCCTTCCAGTTATCCCGTGGTGGCTTCCTGCAGCAGCCAGGGGTTGGTTGTACGAGGCTGCACGGCAATCTGCTGTGGAAATTTCACACCCCTGCAGCAAAATCGGGTGGGAGAAGCCCTGAACCGAACTTCTTTAGAATTCAGCGCACGAGGGAAAATCTTTTCCTTTCCTGTGTGGCTTGTGCTGCTGCTGGAACTGTCCTGGTGGGAGAGGAGCAGCACAACCCTTGTGCCTCCCAAGGATGGTTTGTGTGAAGGGAGGTTGGAGAAGATGCTGTAGATGAGTTCTGGTGTTAATTTCTATTATACCATTTGCCTGTAATATTTGGGCTTTGTTGTGGGGTGTTTTCTTCCTATTCTCTTTGTCCAACCCCCCAGTATGGTTCCATACTTCCATCTAAGCTTATGTGATACAGTAGTTTATTTTAAAACTTGCCTTTATCTTTCCTCGAACCCCTCCCCAGGCTTACTGGGTTTATGAGGACTTGCCAGAAGACCTTGATAAGCACAGTTCTATGTGGACCAGCTTTGGATTCCAGAAGGTTCCAGGTTAATTCAGGAATTAACATACCCACAGGCAGTGGGTGGGTAGCACATGGGTAATGATCAATGAGTCTTGTCCTTAGAAATGGCTTCTGGAAATTATAGGTCAGACCCTATACTTCTGAATTAGGGGAAATCTGTACCAGAGGGACTTCCCTTCTACACAGGAAGAACTGTGCTCTTTTTTGTGACCCTGGCTGCAAGTAACCTTTTCCAAATTCAGGTATTTTGACTAAGTGCTCCACTGAAGGCTCTTGCAGACCTCCATGAGATCCCTGGGGAAGCAGTTACATAGGGACCTGTGCAGTCTGCTCTTCAGTGTGGCCTTAAACCACATGGAGAAGGAAATAAGGTGACAAAATTTGTAAGGGAAAGGCTTGAGTGTTTGTTTGTGCATTTTTGTAGCTGTCTGTGCATAGATGTACACCTGTATATACACCTAAAACCAAACTGAAGAGTTGTAGGAAGGCAGCTTGATTCTGAATGACTAGCAGATGGAATTAAGTGTGGATACATGTGACATTTTCTGCAAGGGAAGAGATAAGAATTCTTGATTTACATTTGCAGTGATGCCTGAAATATCTACTAATGAAGAGATCTTGGTGTTATAATCAGATCTGAAAAATCGCGTTAGCCCAGCGCTCACTTGTTGTAAAACTCAAATAAGATATCAGGAAAGATTAGGAAAGTAAGAGAACAAAGTGTTGTGTGGGTGTATAAATTCATGGTGCTCTCCTTTCATCCTGGATATTGTGTGTGTGTTCTAGTTCCTCCTGCTCAAAAATGTGAATTAGAGGCTGTAGAAACAAGGAGGGTCAGAGTGATGAAGCAGCTGAACTCTTGGCAGAGCTGTGGACCTTCCTGCCACAGGATGCTTTGGGCACTAAAAGTCAGTGTAGGTTCAAAATGTGATGGGACGAAGAAATGAAAGCAGAATTGGTTGAGAACTGCTCCAGAAACTGAAGTTGCAAGTTCTGAAAAATGGAGGATGGGGGAGAAAATGCCCCCTAAAATTCCATGTGCTGGATGCCACTCACACTTGGAGTTTAGCTAATTCAGTTTACCCTTCCGTTATCATTACTACCTGGTCTTACCTGTAAGCTTTTAAGGAATGCCGGGTTTTGTCCTCTGCAGTTTTGCCTTTTTAAAATTTACTGGCAGTGATTCAACATTAATGCTTCTTTTCACCTTTGTGGTTGTTATATTTGCACTGTCACTGCTTTAAGAAGAGCAAATCCAGCAAACAGCACATGGATTGCAGGTGGTTCAGTGTAACCAAGGAAGGGGAAAATATTTTCCATGATGCACAACACTGTCATAGTTGCTAAGAATGAGATATGGTGGAAGTTTTTTCTACATATGATAATACCTGTGCATGTTAATACAGCCCAGCACGTAAATCCACTTGGATTTCAGTTCCTTACTGCATCCAGAATTATCACTGATTGAGTCACAGTAAAGCCTCTATAATACATTATTTTTAAAGAATATCCCTTTAAAATAACATCTGAATTAGTGGAAAGACCTATTTAAAACACCACTGTGTTATGAATGGCAAAATTGTCAAGACTAAAACCAACATGAAGGATTATTTTTCCTAGAACAAATATTTCAGTAAGTGAGAGGGAGTGGTCAGATTTCGAATGTGTGATTTGATCCAAGTATTCTTAGAAGGTTTGAAACAATCAGTATTTCTTTTGTCTGAGATTTTTGAATGTTTATTTAGACAATTTTCTGTTTACTGCCTCTTTCTGTGGTAAGTAGAGAAGATACAGCTGTTATTTCTGAAATGCTTGTGGTGTTCCCACTGATCTGCTGCAAGTTAAGAGTTTAAACACACTACTGTAATTCATACCTGCATTCAAATGGCATTATTTGCCCTCATATTCTTAAACAGAGGGTGGAAACAAAATAAAAATTATGAGGAAGGTTTCTGTGGCACTAGCTGCGGGGAACAGGACACACAGCATTGTTCTTCCCGTTCTAATTTCAGCATATTTCAATTTTTAATGTCGGAAAGGAGTTCTCCTTGCCTGGATTATATTGCAACAAACTTGCTTGTGTTTGCTATACCAGCTCTCTTGCTGTTTTTAAAAAAAGTGCTTCCCAGCTGCCCAGGCATCCTTTGGGGATTTCTGAACTCATGTTGCTGCAAACAGAATGTGACATTCTGAGAATGAGTCTTTTACTGTAACTTGTACCAGCAGTGGCCAGAGTTGTGTGTGTGTTTTCTGTTTGACTGGAGTATTGATAAGCAGCGTTAGATTGGTTTCAGTTTACAGATGCCTTTTAAAGTAATGAAACACCTTCCTTAGGCTCGCGGGCACGCACAAATCTGTGCACAATTCTGACTTTATTCTCTTATCTGAGCACTTTTTAAATGGTGGAAGTTTTTACAGACTTTTAGTTTTTGATACTGGTGCACTTTTCTCTTAATTATTAACTGAACCTGAGCATGGCTCACTGCAGAATCCTAAAATAGTTTGGGTTGGAAGGGACATTAAAGACAATCTAGTTCCAACCTCCTGCCATGGGAAGGGACACTTTCCACTATCCCAGGTTGCTCCAAGCCCCATCCAACCTGACCTTGGACACTTCCAGGGCTGGGGCAGCCACAGCTTCTCTGGGTAACCTGTGCCAGGGCCTCCCCACCCTCACAGGGAAGAATTTGTTCCTAATATCTCATTTAAATCTCTCATCTTTAAATTTGAAATGGTTCCCCCTTGTCCTGTTGCTCTCTGCCTGTGTAGAAGTTGCTCTCCCTCTTTTTTGTAAGCTCCCTTTACATACTGAAAGACCAAGAATACAGACTGTATGGAGATCAGAAAATCACCGTTGGACTTGCTGTACACCTCACAGGTGCTTTTAGAGCTGGCAGTCTGGATGTCTAACTTATGCTGGGCCTGCAAAATCAGAAGATTTGGTTTCTGCTTTCAGAGAGCACTTGAAAGGTCACTCAGAATCTTTACTGTGTTCACACGTGAACTGCTCACCTTCAGAGCATGGTGGAATCCATCCCTCAGGTTTTCCAGGGAGGTCAGATCCATCCCACACCCAACTCTTCTTCTGCTGAAGTTTTCTTTATGTATTAATAATTGTGTTATTTGTGTTGATGTATTTGTGCATTCAGGTAGACGTGGCAGTCCCCTAATAATCTGAGAGGAGAGGGAAGATGGGGAATTGTAAATTAATGTGTGTGATGGAACTCACCGAGAATTCCACTCACCCTCTAACTTTGGGTTGGGGCAGTGTTTGGTTTCCTACAAATACTTCTAGATAGGTAGTACCTGGAAGTGTAACAATGGATCATTAAAATATTTGGTGATCAAATCAAATATTACTTAAAATACTCTAAAACTTTTTTTCAGCTCTTCTGTATTACTCCATTTTATTTTAATGTGCATTCAAGATTTAATTCTCAGGAGCTTGAATCTTTAGGGGAATCCATAAATTCCCTAGAAATCCCTAGAAATGTCCTATGTGCATTTCTTTCCTCCGAACTGCTTTTTATCTACACTTTTCAGTCTTTAAAAATGCTGCACTTGCTTTCAGTGAGCTGTATGTAATTTTTTTTTACCACGTTACTATTTTTTTTTTTTTCCCCAGTCCTAGTGGACCAATAAGCAAGTTGAAAAGCAAGGCCAGGGCTCCTGTTTATTTAGTAACACCCTCTGCTGCCTTGTTCCTGCAGCTGTTGGTGCAGCTCCCAGCGCTGCCTCTGGGTTGTGTCTTTTTGTCCTCCAGCAACGCTGTCAAAGCAGTAACAGAGGAAACTCAGGAACATCTCAGAGTTTCCCCTGGCCCTTGCAGGAGTTTTAAATGTTCCACACGTGGTGCTGTATCTGGCAGGAATCTATGCCCAGGCATCGGCAGGCGTTTGGTGGGTCTCTTTTGGTTTAGATCTTCTCCTTCCTCAGTCCAGAGACACATTTTAGCAGCAAGTTTTTGTGTGTATTTACAGTATCTGCTTTGGATATTACTTGGAAAACTCTCTTGGAATACGGTCTCAGTATGATTGTAGTGGGCTGACGTCACCATATGAGTCTAACAAGGGAAAAAAACGTGTTGAGATGGAAGTGGGTCTCAGTATGATGGAGTGTCTCTAAGGTTATCTTGCTAAAGACTTCTGAGTACAACAACTACACATCTTAAATGCAGTTGTTGTGGTCTGGAAAACCAGGTGTGCATACGTGAATTTATTTTTCTGCTATGTGTTTTTTTTTTCTTCCCAGTGTCCCAATGTAATATCAGCTTGAAGAAGCAGAGGAGTCGAAGTATCTTTAGCACCTTATTCTGCTGCTTTCGTGACTACAATGTCGAGCCACCATCTACCAATAGCACCAGTGCTCTGCCTCCTTTGGTGGAGGAGAATGGAGGACTTCAGAAGGTCAGGATTTTATCTTATTTTGCTCTCATACGGGTCCTTTGTAACCAAGGTTTAACTCTGCTCCCAAAGGTTTGTCCTAACTGTTCCCCCCCGCCGAGGGAAACCTGTCATGCTTTACAGAAAAAAAATCGCTGTCCTGATGGTGAATTGCTAATACTTTCTATTCAGTTGCAGTTTAAAACTCCTATTTCCATGGGAAGTGTTGGCTGGTTTTGTTTTATAAGCAAACAACATTTAAAACCTGACTTGAGACACTCAAATAAGGTAGACTTCTCATAAAATTCCAGCTGCTGAGTTGTCTCTGGCTTTGATTCCCTTTCGTGATTACAGGAAGGTTAAAATGTGTCCAGTCTTTTAAATATCACTTAAAAGGGGTTTTTAGTGACAGAAAAGCAAGTCATCACGGGGGAGAACCATTATTTGGACATTTTTCTCTAAACAGTTCACTTCCACTTAATACATGCTGAATCCAACCAGAAATATCAGCTTTGGGCCATTTTTTTCCATATTATTAAGCTTTGTTTTACCTAATAAGTCAAATCAATTGATAGAAATTTTAGCACTTCAAACCATTTTGTGTAACAGCAAAATGTTACTTCCGTTGAATTCCGGTAATTATATTGCTTTGCCATATTCATAAAATCACAACATTAATGATTTTATGTGTTCTTTTTAACTCTGGTAAAGCTGAGAGCGTTTGTGTCTCGAGCTGAAGAATTTCAGTTCAGTATGGCAAACACAGGAGTGCCATCTTTTCCATACAATTTTCCAGGACTTTGAAATTGGAGATGTAGGTGTTATCCCTGGTGGGGAGTAATAGCAGAAATGGAGATCCCAGAATCACCCTCCTGCTTTTCTCGTAATTTTTCGTGTCTGATGCAGCTGATTCCTTACGTACCTTGTCCAGTCCATTTTATCCCAATTTGGATTTTGCTGGTTATATGATTGAATCCTGAAAAGCTCAGGAGAAAAGAGCAGAGGAACTGCTTGGTGAAAGCAGATTAAAGTGATGGGAGACTGAGAGTACGTGTGGAGGTGAAATCTGAGCTGGAGCAGTTCATGCTGAAACTGCTCACGCAGAGGTGAAGTGCCCTGAGAATTCTGCCAAGAGGAGGAATTGTACATGTATTTTTAGACTTCTTCTGCTAGCCAAGGTACATTCTGACTGAAATGAGGGAAATCCAGCCTGGATGTGCTGAAGGGAAAGCTGAGTAGTGTGTAGCATGTGCACACACATTCATCTGAGAAAAAAAAAAAGGAATTGGAAGCTATTAAAATTTCCCTTTCCACTGTGCTGGGGAATGGAGAGTAGGCTGAAGTGAGGCTACTGGCAAAACTACAGCTGAGAGAGAATGGGAGTTCATTAGAAAGAAAACCATAAAACAAAGTTTAGGGTTTTTTTGCTACAGAAAACATGAGTAAAAACGGTCTGGAACCAGCAATTTCCAGATTGTATTTTGTGAAACACTTAATTACTTTCTAAGTAAATCTTATGCCTTGAGTGAGTGATTGGCTCATGTGCTCACACACGAGTGCTCCATCCCCACTCTGCTGCCTCAGTGAGCAGTTTTGGGAGCTGTGCAACACTTGCACATGAGACCAAGGCACAAATCACAGCGTTCGTAGAATTAGCAGATTAAAACTCGAGTAAAAAAAATTCAAGGGGTATTTGGAAGAGAAGCATTCGCAGAATTACCAGGTTAAAACTTTAAAGAGTTAAAAAAAAAACCTCAAGGAACATGTTGAAGAGAGTTTAATTAAAGAGTGTATTTTCTTTAACTGAATGAAAGGCACTCAGATACTCAAACCTTTTGTAGAAAAAATCCAGTACAGCTGAACTTTTAGGTTGTTCTTCAGTGCAGATAAGTCTGTGACATGACTATTTTATAGTCATGTCACAGACTTATGTCTGCAGTATTACACATGCAGTATTAAGGACTAATAAGCTTTGTATGTGTTTTATGTGCTTTTTTTATTGAGTGCTAACACAGTGTAAATACGAAATTCTTTAAAGGAAGAAAAAGAGTGTTGAAGACTTGGATATGTTGGAATATTGTTACCCTGTCAGGATGGTGCTTTTTGCCAGGAGAGCTGTTTTAGAACTGTGCAGGCTGCTTGAATTTGATGGAGTTACACTGAACATCTTGTCTAGACTCAGAAATGCTAATTAATGGGGGAAAGTACATGCAACAGTGGGCTTTGGATTCTGAATTGGTGAAATTAAATATCCAGGAATGACCAAATTACCTGTTTCAGGAGAGAAAATAAAGGTTGACAACACACTGCTTAAACCTCTCTGCTGTTAAATTAAAGCTCTTTCTTACATTTTTCCCATTGCCAGGTTAGAATTCTGTTGAACTGCTGCTCAAATGATCACTTACTTATACCTGCTGTCTCATTTATGTGTTTTATTAATTAATTATCACATCACAGTTCACCTCTGGCCGTGGCCCAGTCAGCTCAGGTGTTGTGACCCTTTCCTTCAAAAATGAACAAAGAACATTGGACAATGAACATTTACCACTAAAAACTCATATAAAATGGCTTGGATGTACTTTCCTTCTGTCTTCACTGTTCAGTGGAGTTGTTACATGAAAACTGGTGATAAAAACTTCGGAGAAAGGGAAGGAGTGGGGAAGACAACTGCTGGTTTCACAGGAATTCAGTGTTTGTTCTGTGTTGCTTCTGGCATATTCTTGAAGCTGAAGTTGATGTGACAAGCTGACTCCCTTCTAATCAGGAATCTTGATTCTTTAACTGCTGACCTGTTCAAGAAGGAAGGAAAGCAGGGGAGAGTATTCTATCAAATAATTGAGAACACAGTTGTGAAATTTTGTTCAGAGTAATTGCATTGTGTGATTTAATTTTTATTTTTACTGTTATTTGGCTGTACTAGAAAAAATGAAATCAGTGCTTCAAATTAATCAGTGCTTCATGATGTGACTTGATGATGCTTGACATGTCAAGTGTCATGTCACTTCTTCATAGGATTGGAAGAAACACCAAATGGTTTTGAATAAACAGTTTTTTTCAGCACTGACTTCTGTTCTGTTAAGGGGGGAAAAAAAAAAGCCCAAAAACTTCTTTAAAGTATTGAGTTCACTTTTAAACCTTCTCCTCACAGAGCAGCTGCTTGTCCAAGTGTGACTCTAATACTGGTAATGAATGGTCCATTCCGTCTCTAAAGTTTCAATACAACATTTTTTTTTCCAACAGTAACTTGTATTTACTGAAACTGCGGTATATTTGTTTTTCTTAAAATGCAGCAGCCATTTAGCACAGCGTGGAGATGTGCTGTGAAGCTGTCATGTCTGTGGCAGTGGGTATACCAGCCTGCCTGCAGCTTGGATGCTGAGCCAGATGTGTCACTGGGAGCACACAATGTTCAGCCTCGTGAAACCCGTGGTGATTTTTTTCCTGCCTCCTCAGCAGCAGCAGCAGGCAGCTCCCCAACACCTTCCAGCCCACATTTTATTTTTTTGGTTAGGGGACAGAGTTTTTGTTTTCTTCTGAATAAATTCGAATCTCGACTCCCGTTCTTTTGTTGGCAACCTGACTCAATTTGTGCAGTTTTTTCTGGATGTAAGTTGTTTTTGTTTTTTTTTTCTTCTGGGTAAGTCTGTTATCTGAGCTTTGAGGTGTTTGCAGATAACAGATTTCATTCACTCAGGCTTCAGGGAGTGGGATCCAGAGAGAGAGAGAGAGAGAGAGGTGAAAACAGCTAGATGCAAAATAGCTTTTTGTTCCCTCTGCTCTCAGCCCTGGTGGGTGAGGCAGCTCTGACAAGTCTATCGGCACTTTGCCATTTCGCTCACAACCCACTTCCACTGGAGTTATCCTTGCTTTTGTTTCACACTGAGATCCAAATCAGGCAGATGGCTCGTGTTAACGAGATGAAGCATGAATGAGGGAAGTTTTTTTTTTTATATTTGTTGGATTAGAGGAGAAGGTCTTGATCCACACTCAACAGGGAAGAAGACAGAATTAGAAGGAGGTTTATTCTGGGGGCTGCAGCTGCCCCTGCTGCTTGCCCTATAACTGAATTCCCACCTCACCCATCCTAATTACTACAAAAGTCAGGGCTCCTTCTCCCCACTGCTTTTTGCTGTTACCATCATCTCCGAGGTGATGCTGGAAAACCGTTTTGATGACCTGTGGTCATGTCTCCAGCACTGTTCTCTGCTTCAGGAATCTGTTTTTAACACAGTGCAGGAAAAAGGATCTTCTCTATCCCACATGGATATATGGTCCATCAAAATGAGAAAAACAGCTTGTAGGGAGTACTTTCTTGAGGTCACAGTGGTCTCTCCTTCATGCAGGAGACCTTGAGGAGCAGCACAAGCGTGGTCTCTTTGAGGAGGAGACAGTTAATGGCACGCTTTCTGAATGGATGTGGCATCCACTTTCACTGTCCAGCGTGAAAGAAGATAATTGAGATTAATGTAAATCCTAGTACTTTTTCCCCTACTTAACCTTTGCTGATCTGAGCAGGAAAATTCCTAATGTTTGGTTCTGTTTGCCACCATCAACATGTGGTATGGAAGGTCTGTTTAGAAAACAAAACCCCCTCTGCACATCTGTGCTTGGTTCCTCTCTCGTTGTTTACTCATTCTGACCTTCTTTACCTCCCAAAAAGTCCTCCATATTAAGAGGCAAAGCTTGATATTGAAAGTCAGTGAAAGAGTCCAATAATAACTATATTACTGTTTTTAAAGAACCTGTCATGGTCTAGAATATGCTTTGTATTAAAGAAATGGATATGATGAAGCTGATCAAAATAGCAGATTTTTCTCTAAAATGAAACAGCTCCTTATCTTTGAATACAGACTGTTCTTAAAATAAAATCAAAATAATGTGGCCTGTCACTTGGTGCTCATTGATCCCACACAAGACCATAGACAGCATCAATGAACGACATGGTACTGGAAATGTGTCTCTAAACCAAAATTACACAGCTAAGGGAAGAGATAGGATTTATCATTTCATCTGTATATAGTGTGCCATGAAAAAAAAAACCTCAACCCTGATTTCAGTGGCTGGACAAATCAGTTCCTGGGTTATTTTAGCGATACAATGGGGAAATTTTGGCATTCTAGGAACAGCTTTGTCCTGTTCCCAACATCAGGAGCTCGTGGAAAGCCTTCAATAAATGCCGTCATCTCTTTCAAACGATACCGGTGTGACCTATTTCCCTTCCTGTTCCAAGGCAGTAGGAAATGAGGCAGGACACTTTCAAGAAGTTTCCCATAGCAGGCTTGTTTTTTAAAAAGCATTTCCCTGTTCGTGAGTACTCACAATTTCCCTGCAGACTCGTGCAATTATCCTTCTGCTTGTTTTTTTGCTGTTCTCATCTTTACCTTTTTGATGTTTGCAGAGGAACGTTTAGGGTTCCTCTTAGGAAATTTACTCCCTTTTTTTATTATTATTATTATTATTAATATCATTATTTAAGAAATTCTTTGAGGAAAATAAAGCAAACAGTTATGCAAGTCCTGTAGCAACTTCAGTTCTGGATTCCCATGAAAGCCAGTTCCACTAACAGAACATCAATGTACTGAATTAAAATCTTTTTCTTTTCTTATTGCTATTACCCTGAGGCAAACTTGGATTCTTGCCAGTTTGTGTGTGTGTGTGTTTTTTTAGAAATCATTGGTAGTTTTTACTAGTGCAAAGGTTTTGATAGTTCATGGTAGTTGCTGCTCTGTAGTTGCTTCTTCAGCTTCTCAGGATTTTGGTCAGACTTCAGTAAAAAATTTCTCATGTTTTAGCACTAAAAAGGGGGATTTTAATATTGAATTATTCCTGTTTGTCAGGGATGTGTCAACACTGTGGTAGACATCAAAACAAGTAAGCACAAGGCTTCCTCAGCTGGAAGAGGCTGTGCTAATGTAGAAAACAGCTCTTTCAGTAATTGCTCTGCTGGAAGTCAGAGCCTGTGTTGTCCAAGTCTTCAAGAATTAAATCATCTACCTAAGTAGTATCTATGCTAGAAGGATCAACTTCCTTTTATTTTTTTTTTTTGTGTGTGTGCTGTGCCTACCAAAAAGCAAATGCCTGTCCCCATTTTCCACAGTCCCTTACAAATTTGAGTCAGTGACCCAGTGACCAGCCTTTCTCCATTTTGGAACTGTCTCTTTGTATATCAGGACCCAGGAAAAGAAGAAAAAGTCAAGCTGGCCAAGACTTTCTTGCCTTCTCCTGAGTACATAACAAAAAGTGAGGCCGTGGGAAGAGCTCTGATACTGTTGCTTCTTTCTGGGTGAAGAAAGTGAGATTTCTTGAGTTAGTTTATCGTCATTTTTTAATATATATATGTTTTTATATATTTTATATAAATATATATTTTATATTTTTTGTGTATTTATATATTTTTTTATATTGCCTAAGCGGAAATGCTGCTTTTTCTGAGTCAGTTGTCTCAAGTGAAGTTCAGTTCAAGGAGTGGGTTTCTGCCCTGCTACCAAGGTCTGGCTCAGCTTCTTGCTGCTGCAGTGAAAACTGACAAATATACCCATGAGTAGATCTTAAAGCTGAAAAAAGTTACAGTAAATACAGGTACTTTCTTATTGCCATCTCTTATTAATCATAGCATGGGTTTTACCAGTCCAGTCTCCTAAATAAATCATAAATGCCAGTGTACTAACAGATCATTCCAGCAACTAAAATGCAAGACCCTGTTTTTACTTTTTTTTTTTTTTTTTACCCTGGTTTCTTGAATACTTTGAACTTTTGGTTTAAAATGTTTGAGTGCTACATTTACTGCTCCAGACCTTTGTTCTACCCTTTAAAAGCCATTACCCTTACAGTGATTTTTTTTTTTTTCTTTTTCCCCAGGGTGACCAGATGCAGGTCATGCCTATACCAAGTGTATGTATTTTTATCCCTTTTTCTTTTAATAATTTTCATAACTTTTGCTTTGTTTCATCTTATGTTGCAGTCCTAACAGGTCTGTTTTGTGTTGCATGTTAACAAAAGGATTTTATGTTCTGTCTGTGATGTTGTATACTCAGAGATGAATTGAACTGCACGTGTTCCACGGGGACTAAAAGAAGAGTTTGGGTTTTATGTGGATTTCATCTGAATTTTTGCCATTTTGGAAATGCTTGAAGTACTCTGAAAGCTGAAGTTACTTATTTTAACAGAGGCAAAAGGTGACTCGCCACCACTACGTGAGACACAGCTACAAAAACCTTTTCCTCTCGTTTTTCCCTGTATTCCAATTGAAAGGAAGAGTTAGAAACTGTGAAACTTAATTGGAACAACTCACTTTAGGAAAACAGAGCACACTGACTAGAGCTGCATTACTGCCCTTGTTTGAGATGATGCTCTTGGTATCCGCTGCTGTTTTATGGGCCTTGATATTTCTGTTTATCTTCCCTGGATTAAACTTGGAATGCTGTTTGGCATCTGAATTATTTCTCAAGGCTAAATAAAAGGAAGGGGAAAAAAAGAAGTTCTTCAAACTGAAGCTTTTAATTTAATTAGTTTTAACCTTTTTTGGTCAGAAAGCTGCCCTTTTTTTCCTTTTTTTTTTTTTTTATGAGGATGAAGGCTTAGGCTTTATAAATCTGAAAATACTTTTTTTTTTTTTTTAGCTCCTTTGCTGTTTATAATACTTTATTATGCAGAGTTTTCCTGAAAATAGCAGTGCTGATGTGCAGAGTTACTGACACAGCCCTCTTGTTTGAGATATTTGGGAGCCTTTAAAGACCTGGATACTCCCCAAGATACCAATTTTTGTTGTCTTTTTCCTTCCTCCTCACGTAGCCCAACATTTCAAAGCCTCCTGTAAGAACCCTGCAGAGCAGCAGTGTCAGGACATCACTATGACTGTGCACATCTTCCCTCTCTCACCAGTTTTTTCTTGGATTCAGGAACTGTTTGGAATTACTTTTTTGTTGCTTACCTGATATTTCTGATATGGCTCATGCATGTATTTGTGTGTCTGAATACACACACATGTGCATGCAAGGAATTTATCTATATGGAAGTCTAGAAATAAAAAAAGTCTGAATGGATGAAAACACTGATTCCTAAATTACTTTTCTTTTTACATACCTGCCAAATTCAGTTAGGTGACTGTAGTTCCTCTTCTGGTAGTTATTTGAACATGAAACATGTTCTGGCTGTGCTCTGACCTGGAATAAAATCTTTGCTAAGAGTGAGTGCGGGTATTAACAGAATAAGAATTCAAAGAGAACAAAATTCTGAAATGATAAATGAGTACAGCTCTGACAGGTACATCACTGAAATGAGATGCTTTGTTAGAACACTGTCTTTGCAGTGTTGAAGCAGTGCTCTGTTAGATTTGGGTACTGGTAGGGAAATGAATGATTCAAGAAGGGATTTCAATTTTTTTCCCCTCTTTTTTTTTTTTTTTTTTAAGCTCAACTATAATTTTGCTGACCTATATTCCCAGCACTTTTAACAAGGCAGTAAAATTAACTTATCTCTGCAGTCGTGACGTAGAGTTCTCAGCGAGCAGGTGACTTTAGAACGCACTCACTCCCCTTCTCTGGTGCCATCTGATGCTCCTTCCAGCAGGACAGGGGAGGGTTGTCAAGCAACCATCGCCCTCAGGCAGTTGTGTGACATTTACTCTCCAGTATCAGAGTGCTCCTGGCTGTCAGACAGAGCCCAGCCAGCCATTAGTATGTCATCATCTAAATAAAGGCACGAGTGAGCTGCACGTGGAGACAGTGGTAGGAAGGAAAATGCAACATTATGTTAGAGAAAAAAACACCACCTAAAATTAGTGATGTTCTCTGCCAGCCTTCCAAGGGCTGTTTGTCCAGAGGGACCCTCTGAGACGACTCTGAGCTGTGAGTTTTGAGACCCCTTAAGGCAGAAATTCCTGATGCTTTGCTGCGTAGGGATGAGAACTGGGCTGTTTGAACTGTATGTCTTGTACTAACCAGGAGGAAAATCTAATAAAACACAGAGTGAGCTTGGTCACAATTTAAGTGGACATTTACTTTTTATAGGGCTCGTTGCAAATGTCAAGAGTTTATAAGAGAACCCCTTAGTGACTCTGGAAAGATCTGTGCCCACTCCCCCACTCATTAAACTTTCAAACCGAAGCCTCCAGTCAAAATAGGAGGATTTTTGGAGCGTTATAATGCCTGTGTAAAACCTGGCTGTCTGCTGAGATCACCTGTTTGAAAGCTTCCATTGCTTTATGTGCGTTTTGCGTTGCTTTTCTATGCATTTATATGTGCAATGCAGTGCAATAGATCTTCTGCTAAGCAGATTTGTCCTGTATTAATTGCAATTAATTTGAAGTTAATTGAGTTAACATGGATTTTTGCTTAGTTATCGATAGAGGTAACCGCTAAGGACGAAACTACAGGTTAGGTTCTTCAGAAAACAGAACCAGGATTACTTTGGGGGGGGTTTAAAATAGGAACATTATCCTGTTTGTATCTCATATAATCATACAATGGTTTGGGTTGGAAGGGACTTTAAAGGTGATCTAGTTCCAACCCCCAAATCAAAGTAGACCCATAGCAACCTCAGTATTTTTAATTCTTTTGAACAAAAAGGTAGATGGAAATACAGAACCACATTCATGCAACATCCTAAATAGTTGTTCAGTACAAAATCCCACTGGTAAGGAGTGGTATCAGAATTATCCCTCAGAATCCCTGCAGAAGTTAAATCTTAGCACTGGGATATTCACTTGTCCTCACGTGCATTTGGACAATTCCCCTTTATAACTTACAGAAGGAATTTTGGGAACTGCGTGTTCCATAACAGGAGCTGGCATCTCCTGGCAGTGTTCTGAGTAGAAATCATTTATCTTCTGTAAGAGTATTTGTCTGTGTAACTGCAGGGAGAAGCTGTTAGCTCTGTGGAGTGCAGCCCCAAGTGTGAGCTGGAGGGAACACGAACAGTGAATTAGTGTGCTGCACTTGGGCTCAACAGCATTGCCAGCGCAGGAAACAAAAAAGGGGCTTATTAATTCTGATACTTGTCTCTGTGGGAAATACGGGCCTGCAGGGAAGAAAGCTGATGATTGTTTTATACAGTAAATTTCTGAAAGATTTGTGTTGACCAGCTGTTTATGCTTCAACCAAAAGTCCTGTTCTCTTGCCACCACCACCCCCTTTTTTTTTTTTTTTTTCTTAGGGAATATACTATTTCCACGGGACTGAAGCAGTGCAGCAGTCGTTTCACTACAAGGTCTGTTGAGCTGATCAGCCATGAGACCTGGCTGGAATGCATAAATCCCAAACAGTGACCAGTTTAACTTGTATACAATTTGTGTCTTGTTGGAATTGAAGACCAAGCTAGGACTTAACAGTACTGAGAGACCACGTGTTAATTTTTCTGCTGAGTTCTGTGGAAGTCTGCAGCCTCTCAGAGAGTATTGCATAGTAAATATGAGTTGCTGTTAACCACTATTAAATACTCTTAATCATATTAGATGTCTTTAAAGCTACTATGTGGAAAAAGAAAAAAAAGGAAATTATAAAAGGTCCATAACAATTCACTATTAACTCTGGTGGAAATCTGGTAATTAGAACTCTTCTTGGATATGTCTCTGTTAATGAAGAAATTAAAATACAGTGTTGAGTAATGCTTGTTTCTGCCTCAAAGTTTTACTACTCTTGGCACATGGAAATCGCTTTAGATCAGGAAGCTTGAACAGCAGAACAAATGGACTGATACTTTACATACAAATCCTTTAAGTTCCTAAAGCCTCAAAAATGTCATCCTCGCTCCAGAGTCCTGCACCAGCTATTTAGCAGCCTCACAACTTGCAGTGACTTCAGCTCCAGAATAGTTTCCTTATCCCTGTTAGATTATCAGGGGTGCAAATGTGTTTTCGCAAACGAGGGCAATGGAGGCACAGGTTGTGAAATGGAAAACTCATTTCTTCTGAACTTCAAATGGAGTGTGAACTCGGGGAAGCAGGATCACATTGAACCCAAGATGCCAAAGCTTGTAGGAGGGGTTGGTGTTTCCCCAGGAGAAACCTTGAGGGTCAGTCCTGTTAGGTAAAGTTGGGTCAATAAGTGCACATTATTTCTTAATGCAGTAACAAAAAGGGAGAGAAACTCTTATCACTGCTTTTGAGAAAGCAGAGGGTGCAGGTGGTTGAAGAAGATGGAGGCATGGGTTGTCTCAAATGCAGTCAAGGGATTCAGGTTCTCAAGAGCTGAAGGTTCTCATATTTTTTAGTCAGCCCCTGGTAGATGTCCATCTTTTTGTTGATGACAAGCATAACAGTTTACAGATAAAAAAACTAAAGATATCTGTGATGAGGCAGTGCTCCTATTTTTCATAGCTTAATTTTATATGGATTATATCTATTCTCATATATTTTTCATAGCTATAGATATTTTCAGTTTGATAAAGAATTCGCATAGCAGAAGGAATTTCTGGCTTTGAACTGCTGGTGCAGATTAACTTAGTCAAAAATTCAAACTAGATACAGTTCTAAGAGTACAAAAATGAACGGAACTATTATTTAAAAAAGAAAAAAAGTATGCTGAAGGTTTCTTGGGATGTTCCTGCCTTTTTCTCATCTTCAAAGACAAGAAATCAGTATCAGAACACGGGTTCTGAAGATTATTATCTTCAAATGGGTTAGATTTTTCTTTCATTAAGCTTTTGCTCTGTTTAGGTTGCAAATTTGGATCCTCCTTACTGTGAAAAATTGAGGTGGGGTGCCTAAATACCTTTTAGGCTTTGAAATCAGGGGAGTGAGAAACTAAAATTCTTTCGGTGTGGCCCTCCTTGCCAACAAGCAGAGGTGGAGCTGAAGCAGTTGTGGGACTGTCTGTGTAACCTGCAAAGGGTGTCCTATAAATCTGAGTCCAGTTGGGTGACTGTGATGGATTGGATCCATTACAGGCATTAGGCAGAAGTTTGTTTTTTCTAGAAGGTGGTGGTTAGATTTTTGCTGAGAGAAAATGTGTTCAGACAAGTGGCTTGTAAACAAAGGCAGCTTCCAGTTGGGTAGCTGAAGGAACTGTTGTCGTTGTTAATTGTAAGGAGCTAAATCAGTTGCAGTGAGCGCGCCTAAAAGTGCCCCGAGAACTTCTGCTGTAGCTAAAAACACTTAGTTAAGTCCAGAATCTCATTTGTTAGGTGCTTCATTTAAACAAGAACTTATTAGGCATCGTTGGCCAGTTATCTGTCAACTTGAGACAAGCTCTGAATTCAGACAGTGGTTGATAACCTGTCCTGGCAGCCCGAGGGTGTTTGGGGGTGTCTGACTCACCTGTGTGTGTCACCTGCACAGGGGTGGCCTCAGATCTCTGCCAGCACCTCCCCAAAGGGCTGCTGAAAGGAACAAAACCCACGACAGATGCATCCTTACATTGCATGGGCAGATAAAAAGATAGCAGAAGAATGAAGTTTAGAGTTCTGCACCCAGTTGTAAATTAATTTAATTTCCTCTCAGCCTTGAGCTTCTCCCTGTTGACACTTTTCCATAAAGCTGATCCTTTTCCTTCATCAAAAAGACCCCCTCTTTGAGTGGCAGCAGTGTTTCAGCTCCAGATGGAAGGGTTCTCTCCCATTTCTGTTATTTCAGGGAGTATCCAGTACCAAAACCTAAAGTAACCGTAATTTTATTGCAAACTGGGGCGTTAAAGTGGGAAATGAGTGATCCAAAGAATATGAGATTGTCTGCATTGCTTTCAGAAAAATTGTCAATTCAAGGAATTGGCACCATTTTTCAGTAAGGGCAGCATGCTGTACAAGAGCCTAGTTTAGGTTCTTTACTCCAGTTTTAATGCCTTGGCTGGGAGCATAATCCACGTGACATTTGGTCAGTGCCCTCACAAGTGGTGAAAATGAAAGTGAAAACATGTCCTGGGAAGATAAAATTAATAATGCTGTCTTCCTTCAGGATGGATTCCTCCACTCTAGCACCTTTCATGGCAGACAGAAATTACAATTTGTGTAAATGTCCATCAGCCTGATATGGCTGGAAATGGCATTGCTGGGAACAGGATAACAACAGCAACCAAAACCAGGCATTAGGCAAAGGGGTTACTACAAAAAGATGTTGTTGTATCAAATGTCTTACTTTTCCCTGGGTTTTCTTAGCTAGTGATGATGTTTTACCACTTTCATTTCCAGTGCTTTGGAGGTCATTCCAAACAAGTCTCTCATTTTAAAAAATAATATTAAAAAAAAAAAGTCTGTATGGGTATTGCAATTGCATGAGCCGTTAATTTCCATGTGTGTACTTGAGATGATCCCAGAAAAGCATTGAATTTCGAGTCATGTATTCCAGCTCCCAGTAATTGCTAGAATAGTAATGTTGACAGAAGAGCGCCCCTTGGATAGAGGTTTTACTTTTTTTTTTCTTTGTTGTCTTCCTCTTTTCTTTGTGTTTTTAGCCACCAGCTAAATACCTCCTGCCAGAACTGACAGCATCAGACTACGGGAAGAAGTGTGTGGTCATTGATTTAGATGAAACTTTAGTGCACAGTTCATTTAAGGTAAGTAAATTCAAAAGTGATCTCTTGCAGCTTTAATCTGTCAGTGAATGCTGCAGGAACTGTTAAGCCTCTTAACACTTGAACTCGTCTTACAGGCTCTCCCAGGATGCCTGGGAGTTCTCATTGCTACTCCTATGATTATTCATCCTAATTTAGCTGTAAGGGGAGGAACACACATATTGCTTTTTTATTTTTTGCCTCTGAGACAGTCACACTGGCTGCAACGAGGCCTGGAATAGGTATTGACTTCATGGCTTCAAGTACTTCAACAAGAACCTGTATTTTAACAGATACACAGTTTGTTGCTTTGAAAATACAGTTTTAGTATTTAGTTTTCAGAGCAGGAAAACAAATACCGTTTAGTTGTTGCTATTGAGTCAGTCACTTCTGAGAAGCAACTTCTATAGCCCTTCAGATTTCAGCATGTGGTGGAAGTGGAGGTATTTTTCTATTGTTTAAGTAGGGCTGAAATTAGGAGACTTCAGAAATAAAAATAATCTGTACTGGCAGCATTTCTGATTGGCAGATCTAATACACGATAAAGCATCTACTGGTTTTATACATTGATTGGAGAATTCATAATAATTAATAGTTACCTCACTACTGGCAAAGTAAAGTTTTATAAAAAAACTTTATATTCTTCTAGTTGTTGCACTCCATTTTTCACTGCTAGCTTGAACACCACTTTTTAATCCTTCACTAGTTAGTTGCCAGCATTTAAAATGCAAACTGTAATTCATGCTGTGGTTAGAATTTGGCAACAGCCTGTCTTTGTTGGCTTAAAGAAAACCTTATATGGAGACATTAGAAGAAATATTCCTCTGCCTCGAACTGAAATTAAGATTTTTCTCTGTCTTTATGGTGCCTGATGGTATATAACAGTTTATGGTGGTGCACAGAAACCCCTCACCTCAGTGCCAGATTTGTTTTCTATGCCCAGACTGAGTTTGTACTGGGGAGTTTTTCAGGGAGATGAGAAACACAGCTGGATTGGAGAAGGAGGAACCACCATGCCTTCCTATTTTACCAAAAACCAGAAGTTAGGGAGGGAAAGCTGAATTTAAAAATCTAAATTTATATAATAATAATAATAATAATAATAATAATAATAATGAAGTATTAGGCTTAGTGTTGTCTGAAAGGTAGAAATACAGGTTTGCTTTCTGAATGCGATGGGCAACATTCAGAGGATATTTGATGGGCATTTGAATGATATTAAATAGGTATTTTAAAAAAAGGAAATCGTTATTCTACTTAATGATGAGCACTGAATAATTTTTCGTGTTAGGAGAAGAAAACTGTTCCTTTTTTTGAGTGAGGTCAGTAGTGTTAGGCAGGTGTTGGAGTTTCTGTAGTATTAATCTTCTGCCTACAGTGGTGTTATCTTAATATAAAACCCTGTGATGGGGGTGTGTAAGAGAAAAAACCAAGTGTTGGAGTGGCTGGCACTGTCCAGTGGTGCTGCTTGGGTTTTGATTCAGGAAGGGAAATGCTTCAGCTGAATCAAGACCATGAATTATCATCAAAAATAATATGTTCCAGCAGAGCAGGGGCTTGAACACCTCTGTGCACCCTGCTCTGCCTGGATAATCAAGTTACTTCTGCCATTTCTTTCAGTTCGTGGGTTTTGGGGGTATTTTTGATGGGGTTTTCTTCCACTAAAGCATGTCTGCTCGAACCAAGCAGGTCCCCACTTAAAAGCTGGAAAAGCATACATAAATTTGTGATTTTTAGTACAAAAAAAAAGGGGTTTATTTAAAACACCTGATACTTTGGAATTCGTAATTCTGTTATGAAATAGGCTTCATATTTCAAATGCAGATTACATGTTTTTTTTTAACGCAACCAGAGAGGCAGAATATTTAAAGTGCTTTTTTATGAAAGCAGCAACATCTGAAGGAGGGTAATTCTCATCTGCTTTATGTCCCTGCATCTTTGTGAAGCTTTAAGGAGGTACTAGGCTTTCATGTTAGGTGCATATTAAAAGGAATAAAGTTTGGGGTTCCTTGGCAAGAGTAAAAAAGGAATACATAGACAGGATAGTTTATCGTTCCCATCATAAAAAACAATAATAGAAGCGAAAATAATAAATTTTTAAATTAGGGAGATGTAAACATGGTTTTGTGTAAAATGCATTAAACCACATGCAAGTCTGGAATGCAGCCCTATTCAAAACTGGCTGTGAAACACTTTCAGAGACATTTAAAATGCTGACTTTTTTTATTGAATAGAAACAGTTCTAACTGAAGATTTTCGGTGGAAATACATTGTCTCCTTTCGGGCTCTGTCTCAGTGGTTCCCACGTACGTGCTTTGCGTGCACAACCCCAAAAACCTCCATCCAGCAGATTGTTGCAGACTTCCCTCCTCTCTCCCCACCGTGACAAAGCACAGAACCCCAGCCCGTGCTGCCTTCCCTTATCACTTGTGCCAACAAGAAAACAACATAGTACCTGAAATTTAAGTGGAGGAGGCAAATACGTAGTTGAGAGTAGTTTGGTCAGTGTTACAAAGTCTAAGGGTGAGCTCTGTTTGTTAGGGAAAAAATGAAGATGTTTAGACAGAATTGCTTTTTTCTCTGGCATCTGGTTGGTGTAGCTCCTGCTAAGATTAAGTTTTGTAAAAGCCGTAGTTTTATCAGTGGATTTCAAAACCTCAGTAGCTTGCAGTGACCTCTTCTTTTTTCTGCTGCTGCAGAGTATTTCTCTTGCTTAAGGGAGTCATGCATATATAAATTCTTCAAGTGTGTGCAAGCCTCTTCAGAGTCTGCAGGGAGCTGGCACCCGCCGGAAAACTGGTGGCTGAGGCTTATTGACAGTTCATTTGGGTTTCTTTTTAAGGTGAAGCTTCAGAACATTTTTGTGTACTTTTTCTGGGGCTGTTGGAGATGCTGCAGAGTACCTTCTCTATCTGAGGGACTCCTTTTAGGGAACAGATAGAAACCTCCCCTCTGTCTTTTCCCGAAGCAGAAAGGAGAAATTGCTCAGTGTCAGCTAAAAAGAAATAATCTGGACTCAACTGTGTGTATTTGAGGAATTCTTCAGGTCATACTCGCACAGGGGTCATCGGCAGGGTGGAGTTTTCCAGCATCATCTGCTCTGGAGGTCTGGTTGCCAATACTGGTATGTCAGGATGAGTAGATTCCATGTAGCCCCTCCTTTGCCCTCTGACCCAGCACTTCCAGGTGTCGGATCAAACCATCTTCCTCATTACTTTGCTCCTGAGAGAAGGGTGTTGGCCCTCCGTAGAAATTCCTGCGGTCATTTGGCTCTCCTCGTAGGAAGGTTTCCTCACAGTGCAGTTGGAATCTCGTTTCTCCAGGGAATGGGATCAAAGTGGTGCTGTCAGGTTCGTGCTGCAGGATTCTCTTTTCGCACCGTTTTTCACAGAGCACCTTTTTAGGCTCACCAGTGTGTGACCTGCTCTTCACCTTGGCTGCTTCTCTGCTTTCTTGGCACCCCCTTTTCCCCCTGAGTGGGCCTGAAGTTTGTTTCTAGTCTCACAGATTCTTCGGGGGCATCTTCTTGGTAGTTCCTGAGATCAGTCTGATCCAGAAGACCAGGTGGGAAGGTCTGTACAAGTGTAGTGGAGCTGAGTGAAGATGTTTTCCAGCCTTAGCTTAGTAACACCGGTTACCAGACTGCTCCCAGCCCTCATTCTAGGCTCTTATCCATGGAGCATATTGTCTGTTAATCAGTCATGTTAAAATTGTATTTGGCAGCTCTGTCTCAGCCATTTCCAAGCTGCAGATGATGGAATGAGTTGCAGGCTTCAGCCAGGCGTGTTTACATGGCTACTTCTTTATCGTGGCCGTAAAGCATGAGCTGTACCCAAGGCTTCTGCCAAGCTGGGTGTCCATTTCAACCAGTAAACATTGTTAGCAGCGTGTTCCCAACTACCACTGCTGTCTAGCCAAGATTAGATTATGTACTCTTAAACTGCCTACAAGGCCACTTTCCTGCTTTCCAAAGCAGTTTTACTTGACCAGCAGTTTCTCACAGCAAGTCTTAAGAAATAAGTTGTGATCGACAGGCTAGAAAAGTGGATTCAAGGACTTGGGCAGAATGTGTCTGCTCTTCCCTTTTAATTAAAATGCAGTTTTACATGATTAAATTCATTGCTATTGGTTCTTCAAGTATGGCATCTTGAGAATCAATTAGCTATACAACTTGAGGCTTGTTATATTCAGGTATAACCATGAGGTATTACTTTTACCACTGTCTTTACTTTTAATTAATTACAACTTGATGACCCAGAATAGAATATGTGAAGCACATAGCTCATATTCTTGATTATCAAGTATCCACACAGACTTGATGGAAGGGTTTATCCAAATAAATGTTTTCCTGGTAAACACACTCAGTGGTAGAGGGGGTTGGTTATTCAGGCAGTGGAGTGTATTATGTTTTATGAAGCTCAAAAATATGAGAGAAGAGGGAAGTGCAACATCCAGGAATGCAACTGTGAGGTCTCTGACTTGTGTGTGTGAAGGGCACTCACAGAGTGAATCTGTACAGTCAGTAGTGCTTACTAACTTGGTCCTGGGAAGTAGGTGCTCTTCCCTTTTGCAGCTCTGAAGTTGTCCCTCCAGTGATCGCGTTTTTAATGTTGGTTATTTCCTTGTCGTTCTTTCCAGCCAATTAGCAACGCTGATTTCATCGTTCCTGTCGAAATCGATGGAACCATACATCAGGTAAGTGCTGCTGCTCCTTCAGCATCGTGTCCTGAGTGTCCCAGAGTGTTCTCTTCCTCCGTTTGCTGATTTGCGTTCGGTAACTTCTGTAAAACACAGAAACTGTGTATTCTGGGATGTACCATCCAGAAAGACATCCCTGTTTGATCAGGTAGAATCTCTCTCTCAGGGCTTCAATACTGGACTCTTTGTCAATTTAAAAACATTTTCAAACAGCAAGTGGTCTAAGAAGGGGGTTTCAAACATGAGTAGACCCAGAAAAAGCTACTTGAATACTGCATTTCCCATTCCTTCCAAGACAAACAGGACATAAGTTGGCTTGTTAAGGTCTGCTGGTAGCTCATATGGACCAAACTTTACAAAGGTATTAAGGAAGAACAGGCATTCCTCAGGTTTTTGTGACAGTCTGTTTAATTTCTGTCCCCTTTTATCCCTGTAAGTAATAAAAGTTCTTCTGATAGTTTTTTTTTTAATGTACTTCAGCGTATTTTAAAAGGTCTGGACAAAATTGCGAGGAGACTTAATTTTTATGTCTTACTCTTCAGGAACTTCACTTATGGCTCTGAGAAATGGTTTTCAGTAAATGCAAAGCACCCACAATTTGAAAATCAATCCCCTTCACGTATTTTAGCTTGGTCATTAATCAGTAGTCATTTCTGAACCCCCTGAATGAAAGAAATTACCGTGCCATAAATTTTCCCCTTCAGGCAGGCATTGAAGTTCTTGCTGGAGATGAGTTAAACAGGTTAATTTGAAGTTGAGCCTTTCTGTTATGTGAACCTTGCAAATTGTTTGAAGCATTTTCTGTGCTGAGTGTTGTAGGTTACAGATAATGCACTCATTGAGTTGCAAATCTTCCCTGGATGTGATTTAATGGAGATTTTTAAGTACTTTAATTGTTGAAATGTTGGGGGGTTTTATATGGATTGTTTTTACTTGAACAGAGAGTTTTGTATTTCAATCCTGGACTAATTGATAGATCATAAAGTTCATAGTTTCGTTTCGTTTCCTGTTATGAAAACCATTATTGTAATTGTCACTCTTAAAATAATTGCTAAATATCAGTCAGTGGACTGAAAAGTGCTTTAAAGTGATAGCTGCTTTGACAGTTTTTACACTGTGCCTGTTTTATGTAGAAAAACTCAATATCTAGGTTACTTAACACCTGTAATGTTCACCAGAGCTGAGGCTTAAAACACTAAGTGATGTTTTGGGAGATTTGTGGTACTGTCAATCCTGGTTTGATGTGGGCTTTAGTTGTGTTTGGTGCTGTAAAACAGACATTTTTCTCTCCTAAAACTTTGTAGAATGCTTTTGAAAGTGAATTTTTGAGTGGCTCAGAATTCTCATTGCCTAGCTTGTCAAGGTGATATATTTACATTTTGAAACAAATCTCAATAAAAGACTATCTGGGCTTTACAGTCAGGCACTTCAAAAGCCAGTTGCTTTTCCATTCCCTGCTGCAAACTGAGATTCTTCACCACCAAACATGATGCAGTTTGGCACTTGAGGTGACTGCATGTGGGGGAAAAGAGAAAGCAGCAACAAAAAAGCCCCTAAACAAACAAGAAACCCACAGCTGGCCAGAGGGAGTGGATTTGTGCATCTCCTTCTCCTTGACTGAGGAGATCAAGTGAAATGAGTCTCTGAGTGTGCTTTGCTGGAGACTTCCTGCATAATTTTCAAGGAAATTGCTTAATCCCTTTGTATTTCCAGTTGTTAATCTCTAAAATAGGTAAATACCTCAGTCACATTTGGGTTGTCAAAATGAAGTTAACTGTAAGGGATTTGTGATTCTTGAAATAAAGGTAATTTTGATGGCACACAGAATAAGCCAAGTCTGTGTTTGCAACATCTCTGTAGGCAAAGTAATGTCCTGTCATTCAGGAATCTTTTTTTTTTTTTTTTCTTTTTACACTGTGATAAATTAAAGGGCAAAAGGGGGTATTCTGACTGAGTCTGATGTGCATTAACACAGCCTGTGGAGCTTTGACAGCCTGTTCCCACTTCAAACCTGTAATTCTTCAGTCCCTTAGAGCATAATAAACATCAGCAATTTTTGTTACTTCTCAGAATTTGTCATCTGTGTAGTGCTTGTCCATTTTGTTAAGCAGTTCATATACTCAAAGATTAATCATTGACCTTGGGAAATACTTCCAGCTGCGTAAAACAACGTGGGATACGTGAAATGTTGTGGAACCATCCTGTCCACGGTGCATATCCCTACCTGCTTTACCAGTGGGCCTGGTACCTTATCAGGCACGAGATGGTCTGACAGATTATTGCTGTTCTTGAACTCTGCCTTGGACAAAACCCCAAGGAAAACTAAAACAGGAAAAACAGCCATTTCAGGAGTGCCCATTCAGAGAGAAATTCAGAATAATATGAGATTGTTCGGATCTCGTGCACCAAAAGTACAAGTTGTGGCGAATTCAGTTGCTGTGCACTTGAAAGAGTTTTGAGGTTTACATATCTGACAAGTTTTTTCATGGTAAATACTGTATTTTTTTGCTGTTCAACAGAGGTATTAAAAAAAATGCTGTCTTTAGTTCAGGGAGTTTGCTTTCCCTTACATAATTTATAATCCAAAGGTCAGAGAAACTCTCTTTTTTTTTTTGTATAGGGAGGATAATTCATCATCCTAAAGGGTGCTTGGGTAAACGAGCTTCCTAGATTAAAAAATAGCTTTTCTGAACACCCCTTTTCCCTCTCCCATCTTTCTTACTCCAGCCTGAATTACCTTATCTTCAGGAAGGATTTGTCATTTGATTTTAGAAGAAAATAAATCATGTGTGAAAGTGCCTCCCTTTCTTTGTGTTGTGGGCCTTCAGATGCCTGCAGAGACTGTGTCCACCTGAGGGCAGCTGGAATTCCAGGAGAAGAATCCCAGGCTTTGTCTTGGGGATGGTGGCAGGGACACAGCAGGGCAGTTCTGATGTGAGCTGACCCTCTCTGGCCGGCTCTCTCATTTCACTCCAATTCTCTGGGTAAAGGGAAACCAGAGCTGGTCTCCCACTCTACCAAATTATAAGGAATAAACTGCAGGAAGCTCAGTGAAATGACAGGAGGCTTGTTGAGGGTGAAAGTAGTGGCTGGGGAAAGATGTTCAACCTTGCAGTACCTTTGTGCCTTGCTGTAAAAGGAGGCAGCCACGAGGGGTTTGATTTGGCGTTACTTGGAATTTCATTCTTAATCTGTTGACTGAAACTGGTTTTTAGTGTTTGGTTTTTTATTTCAGTTAATAATTGTTTATTTTAGTTGTTGAAAGCTAAAGAAGCATTTTGGCCATTTTACTTTGAAATGTTGTTTAATGGTGGTGGGGGGGGAAATGCTGTTTGAATAACAAACTTCCTTTCTGTAAAGCACAAAATCCATGGATTTCCTTATTGAAGGCTGTGGCCTGGTTCAAGTAATCCAGGATAGGCTGTATCCATTCTAACTGGCCTATTCTTGGTTACTTGCACTGGGAGACAACCACAAACTGCTTGACCCACCACGAGGAGGCTCGAGGACGTGTGTTATTTTCTGCTCAGAAGATGCACCAGCCCACGGAACGGGAGGTCACGGGAGATGGAGTTGTCTTGGGCAGACTTTCTGGTCGTCACTTGAAGGTTTTGTTATTGTAAAGCAGGTTTTGAAAGGCATTTCTTTGTGTCCCATTTGGTTGAGATGGGTTTCTCTTCTGGTTTCACAAATACTGAGTCTCTCTAGGTTGAGACTGCTCTAAGGTATAGAAAATTTATATGGAAATACGAAATGCTTGGAAACAATTAAAGATAATTACTTGGGTTCTGCCATTAGCAGCTGTAAGAATCCTGTGAAAACATGCCTAGTGCCTGATTTGTGCTTAACACGTTGATAGTAGGGTTCATTTTAAGTAATAAAAAAAAGACTGTATTCCTCCAAATTCTTGCTATGATAAGGAAGAAATTAGTTAACATGCAATACACAAAAAAAAAAAAAAAAAAAAAAAAAAAAAAAAAAAAAAAAAAAAAAAAAAAAAAAAAAAAAGGAGGGATTTTTTTTTTTTAATGCCCTAAAGACAGTATATAAATCTCAGAAAAATGCCAGGAGCCAGTTAGTCTAGAGACTTAAACTGAAGCCATCAGGCAACAGAGGAAAAAGCCAAGCCACAAATAACCAGGCAGCATTGAGATTCAAGTCCAGCCACTAACAAAGTAAAGGGGGGAAAAAATTCCAAATGAGGAGGAAGAGGAGAAAAGAGCTGCACTGTCAGCTGAAGAAAGCTTTTTATGTGAAGTAAACCAAAGAGATTTTGTAGCCCAGGATACCAGTACACTTGGAGTTGCTTCCAGGGGCTAAGTAGGACTTCCCAAAGAAAACTTGAAGGAGAATAACTATCCAAAGTATTAAGATATGTTGTTCTGCCAAAGAAAAAAAAAATCAGTGTTGTTAAAAAAAAAAGGGGCGGGGGGAGTGAAGGAATTAAAGCCTTTTACAGAGGGAAATAATTAAATAGAAAGTTTATTGAGACTTCATCCTAAGAGATGACATTTATTATTGATCAAGCATTTAACATGAGAAGCAGATCTGTTGGCCAGATCCCAGCAGGGAAGATTTAAGGCAAAACAGCAAGAAACTCAACTAGTGGAGGTCATGGGTGCCCTGTGGTGGAGCAGGAGATCTAAACTGCAGTTGGGGGACAACACAATTAAAATGCTGTGTATTTACAGCTAAACACTGAGGAGGTGCAGCGTTAGGAGAACTGCAAATAGCCAGAAGAGCACTTTCTGCAAGGACTTGCCTGCAAATACAGCACAAGCCTGTGGTTTGGGAGCTCTTGGGCTGCAGCTCCAGGGTTGATTTACTGTGTGCTCTCCTTGTGGAGGAGGTGGGTTATGTTGCAAGCAGCAAAGTTCATATCCTTGGCAGGGAGTTTGTAATTACATTCCAAGTGGAAATAGTTCGCCAGCACGGGCATAGATAGGGATGGAGAGCAAAGAGGAGACTTCTTCTGCTGTGGCTGAAAACACTGGGCTTTAGAAGGGAAATTAATGTTAAATTCCAGCACTAACTATCTAGTTAAGACTCTGGGGTGGCCCTTTTGTGCCCTCAGAAATATAATTTAAGGCTAAGGAATTAAAAACTTCATTATTAAGGAGTAACTTGGACCCTGCTATCTTTCCTTTTACAACTGGGGGGCTGGGTAGTTTCTGGGTACCCAAAAGCAGGGGGACTGCAGCTGTCTTTTTATCTGTGTCTCTAAAAAATTCGAAGATAGAATTTAGAGAGGAAATACTAGAGAACAACTTCATGTAGTAAGAATTAATGAGAAATTAATTGCATTGTTATAGGGAAGAAAATTACTTGGTTTATGCCTGGTGGAATACAGGAAATGTTGCTGTAATTATCTGGAGAGAGTGGTGTTGAAGTGCATCTGTTAACTGTCTTTAATTCATAAAATGTCACATTTATTTGATGGGTGAGGTGCTGCTGTGGTTGTTTAAAATATATATATGGATTATAAATTGTTATCTGTATCCGAGTTTGAATGAAATGTTTATGAGGCCAGAAATAGTTTAGATAAATTTCATAGGAATAACTTGAAGAAGGTCAGGGCTTCATGGTGTGATGTGGATGCTACATAAAGTGGAAGAGTAATTAACATTTCTACTTTAGTCATTAAGGTGCAGCTCCATCGTGTATGTTGTTAATAAAACTTTGCTTTCAGATTGAGGTTTTCAGTTTCCAATTACACACTTTTTTTCCTTTTGCTGAAGGCTTTAATTGTTACATTTCAGTTCAAGCTGCTGTTTCCTTTATTTTTCTCCTTCAGGCTTTTTCTCTGGGTACCCCCATTTTTTTACCTCTTATTAACATGAAGCTGGTAAAATACATACAAGTAATCTAGTTTTACATATCAAAGAAGGAAATTCCTGAAATTTCAGTCAGTTCTGTGCCAGACCTTCTCCACTTGAAATTTCCAGTATTGGGGATTATTTGCCAAACAAAGGAGATAAAATGCTGCCAGTGTTTTCTCTCAAACTTCTAATCTAACTGCAAACAAGATAGATAAATATTTTTTAAGCAGACTCCCCTCTTCAGCTCCCCAGTATGTTGTGAGCTACTTCCAGGCTTTCTGAGCAGCAGTTATCTTATCTTGGTATTTTCTGTGAATGCAAAATCATCTTCCTTGCTCTGAAAAGAGAGGCAGGGAGGCCCTAATATCTGTTAATCGGGTTGTTGACAGTAGGCAGCCAGGCTGCCTGTGTGGATGTCAGTGCAGAAAGGCAGTACAGCATTGCTGAAAGATGCTCAGGAGGAAAGAGATCTTGAGCATTTGCCATCTTCAGGGCAAGCTCCTCGTGGAAGATGCTGCAGACTTTGTTTTGAAAGCAGCATTTTTAGGCGTTCTGCGTGGTGCTGGGAAGGCTTTTGGTGAACAAAGCTCCCTGCAGAGCTGGATGACTGATAACTCTCCATAGTGAGATCTGCTCCTTAGCACCTGGAATTTAAAAAATGAAAGATTTAGCCACAGAGAGAGAACAGCTCCCTGTTGTGCAATTCCTGTCATCACAGAGTCTTCATGGAATTTATTCCCTCTGTAAAGCTCTTCAGCACCGAAGGCACCAGCACCAAAATGGGTTTGGTTGAGAGATGCGAATCCTCGTTCCTCGAGAAGCCCTCCTGTCTCTCTTTGCCTTTAATGAGATTTTTTTCCAGAAGCATCACTCCAGATGATGCACAGTGCTTGCAATGGCATAATCAGCATGGGGCTTGGCAGCCTGTGCGTGCCAATCTCTCATTATTGGATCTCTGCTTTTATCTTGTGCACTTCTTTTTTTGTTTTCAGCATCTCATTTGAACTGCTTCCCCGTTAACTTTTGTTTCTTCAAGTGTTAGGATTGCAGGAGTGGTTTGGGTTGGGATTTTTTTTTTTTTTTTAAGTTTTCCTTGAGCACCATCTGACCTAAACGTCATTATCGTTCCAGGTTTATGTTTTGAAACGACCACATGTGGATGAGTTTCTTCAGAGGATGGGAGAGCTCTTTGAATGTGTACTCTTCACAGCCAGTCTAGCCAAGGTTTGTTCCTCTCCTCATCTCATTAACCTTTTCAGTGCTGGTCAGTGGACTTTTTGGTTGGGTTTTCTATGGATAATTACTTCCACAGTTGGTACTATCTTAATTTTTCCCCTTCTTTTCTGCTTCTTTGTCTGACAGTGTGTACTTTGTCTGCTAGTGTGTGGGTAAGTTGTTTCCATGGTAACACCATCACATATGGGCTCGTCTCATAATGTAGCCTCCATGCATTGCTCATGATGCCAATATGAAAGGCTCACAAGTTACCATGGTTATAGTGAGAAATTAGAACAAATAGCGTGCGAGTAAAAAGCGGCACATTAAAGCTGGGCATGAAATAAAACCCACCGAATTAAACGCCATCTACACGATCGACCGGTGACTCAGAAATTTCCTGAAAATTGGGAACACAGTTTGTTGTTGGGTTTTTTTTGTTGTTGTTCTGTCAAGGTGCAATTGCAAATCTGGAGATGGAAAAAACGAGACGTTTTTTGCAAAGCCTGAAACGTCAGCAGGAGTATTTTGTGCCCTCTGGTCTGCAGTAGCAGTAGTAGTTTCGTAGGTAGTTTTGTGGTAGATGTTACAGTAGTGGACTGATCTTAAATTCCTCACTTTCAGTGTATTGTATTTGTGGTGTCTTGTTTGTGAAGTTATACTGGTCATTTCTCAACAGTGCTCTAGCATGGCAAGCTTTTAGTCCAACCTAGTGATGGTAGATGTTCTGTTCAGTTGTGTTGTAAAAATCTTAAATACTGCAACAATTTCATACTGAAGTTAGGTGTCTGTTTATTTTTCATAGTCAGAAGACGATTGATTTCAACATCAATTTTGTTTCTCACTTTAAAATACAGAAAAAAAAATATAGCAAAATGGTAACTCCTACCCTGCAATAATAAGTTAGAAACTGCCTCTTTCAAGTATGTGGGTATTCATGTTTGGGTTTATTTGGATGCTTTTCCTTGGTCAGTTGGCATCAATTGTTGGATTTTAAGCTGTGCCTCACCTAAAGTGTCATCTGATGTATAAAATGAGAATTTCCCTGGTATTGTGGTGTTTTTCCTAATAACATCTTTGTCTGATCCTCTGTGGCCCAGTTATGCACTTTGGTAACATTAAGAGTCTTACTGACCCAGTCACTCCAAGGGCATCACTTGGAAAAGCCACATCAGGCTCAGATGTGTGTTCCTTGCAGTTTATATTTAGAGGCAGATGGAAACAAATCAGCTGTGGAAATGCTTCCTGTAGATTTTCTGTTAGCACTGGCTGGTTTTACAGTAATGTTAGTTGAGATCTCTGGATACATCAACCCCTAGAAAACTCTTACAGTAACTGTAAGTTGGCCCTAAGAAATAAAACCTAATCAGTAAATCACGGAAAACATTAGAGTGCCAGTTAGCCTTCTTCAGAAAGATAATTGTCCTACTTTTGCATTATCTCTTTATTAATCACTTCAGGTTTGCAGGCGAGTAAGTTAATTAACAAGGAGCAGGGAAGAAAACGGAGAAAAGGGCATTTTGCCTGAAATTGTTTCGTGTCCCTCCTTTGCCTGGCTCTGTGAACCAGCCTTATCTGTATGCTGCTAACTCCATGTTTCTGGCTTCTATTTTTAAGTATGCAGACCCAGTGGCCGACTTACTGGATCGCTGGGGTGTGTTCAGGGCAAGGCTCTTTAGAGAATCCTGTGTTTTCCACCGAGGAAATTATGTGAAGGATCTGAGTCGACTGGGACGTGAGCTGAGTAAAGTTATTATAGTAGATAATTCTCCTGCATCTTACATCTTCCATCCTGAAAATGCAGTAAGTATTCGAAGTACTCCAGCGTGACTTTATCTTTCTGTTCCTTGCCCAGCCTTTCTGATTTCAGAAAATAACCTTTCAGAGCCCTGACTTGTTATTAGTGTCTGTATTTTCTTAGGCTGCAGGTAGTAGGTTCTGGGATTCACTGCCAAGCGGTGAAGGACGTGGGCAAACTGATCTTGACAGCGTGTCATAGCCATGACTGCTCATAGGCTTTCAGCTTTAGCTTGTGACATGAAGTCCAGCAGTTTTGAGAAATACCAGGTGGTGTGGAACCTGAGTAACTAACTTTTAGCTCTAAAAACCAAAACTGCCCTGCAGCACAGCTTTTGTTCTTTGCAGTGGTGATCACAGATAGGATGGTTTGCCTGAACCATCTTGTACTCCCATCTTTTTTTCATTGTGGGAATGAAGATAGTTCATTAGACAAGAGAATGAATGCTTTACTGGTTGCTGTCTGAAATCTGTGTTTGTGGGTAAGGGAAAGAAAAAAAAAAATCAAGATCCTGTTGTGTTGTTTTGCTTCTCCTTCAAGTGTTTCCGTGATAACTCCCTTCATAATTAGAAATGTTAGCCAATAAGTTCATCAAGTTTTTAGGAACAAGGATAAAAGACAGGCAGCAGTAGTAGTTCAGGGGGGAGTAATTAGGGGCAATGTGCATTTTCACTGTGTGCTTGGTGGCTCCAGGAGCTCTGATGGAATGGCCTGGCACTTGCTCCCTGCATTGCTGCAGTCAGTACAGATGCTTACAGCTGCTTTGTAGCTGCCAGGATAGAAGCTGGAACTCCCTTACATCTACTGACTTTTAAACAACCAGGCTGTGCAGTTCTTTCTTTGATGTTTTTAGGCTGTCTTCTTTGTGTACTGTTAAAATTAGTGTAGGAAATTTTTTATCAAGGGCACTGTTTTCCATGGTCCTGCCTCTCTGGAATAGCTTTTTCTTTTTTATTTTTTTTAACATGAGCTGTTTATCTTGCAGCAGGCAGCTTTTAAGTTCAGATCCTAAAACTGTGATGCCTCAAGTGATGTGGTGAAAACATTCTTCTAGCTGGTGCCACACGTGGTTTGAAGTTGCCATTTATAATAACCAGGAGCCGAAGCTCTACATTTATGTTCATGGTTAAAATTAAAAACCTGATCCAGATCGTTGTTTGGTATCTCAGAAATCAGTGCCAAGAAAATAATGAGCTGTAGACATTTGGGAGATGAAGTGAAGGGCCTTGTCAGAGTGGTTTAATCATGTATAGAAAAGTGCTGCTAGCAAACTGATATTCGAGTCTCTGCAGAAACCAGAGCTTGTAACAAGATCCAAGATCGTCTTTCAAAGACCTCAGTGTGCTTCCGTAGTGAAGATACACAGAACTCCTTCCCCACACCCAGCCCACATATTTAAGAAGGGTTTTACTTGCATTATTTTCTGAACCTGTTCTGGAGGTCTAATATTTTAATCTGAGCTCTGTTCTGTACTCGCTGTTCAATATTTCCTCCAAACCCTGTGCCAGAAGGGGTTGTTGCTGCATTCCTGTGTCTGGTGACTCACACTGATAATTCTTAGAGGAGAGGAAAAATAAAAAAAGACTTGCCAGTAAATAAATTGTCAGTGCAGCTCTATAACCTGTGTCTTCCTTCCAGTCTGTTCTGGAATGTTAAGGAGGGGCAGAGCGAGTTGAGCTGCCCGGTGTGGGGTCACGACGTAGGTGACCTGGACATGCAGGTGAAGGTCACCTGTCCTGCATTTGGCTTCAGGGTTGATGTTGGGTACAAGAAAACATGGGCTTGAACCTGGTGCTCCACCTGAATGGTAATGATTAGCAATTTGCCGTATTGTGGTGATGATGATGATGATGATGATGATTGTTACAGGACGCCCACACAGGCAAAACTCACGTGCCCTTCACATCATGAAACCCTCTCAGTGTTTGTTGGTTGCTTTGTTTCAGGTGCCTGTGCAGTCCTGGTTTGATGACATGACAGACACAGAGCTGCTAGATCTTATTCCTTTCTTTGAAGGACTAAGCAAAGAGGAAGAAGTTTACAGTATGCTTCATAAACTCTGCAACAGGTAGCCCTTAACTTTGACTGACTTCTGCTACTAGATTGCAGTTGCTAGAGGCTGTCTCCATCTTTTTCAGCTCTTTCAAATGTAAGCTTTGGGGAGGTCACTCCTGTCAGAAGTGCTACTCTTGATCTTCCTGTTACATTGGACACGAAGGACAATCATGAGTGATGCTCTTAAGCCTTCAGAAGCCTGACTCCTAAGGTCATGTGTTCAGACTACTTTTTTAAAGGAAAAAAAAAAAAAAAAAAAAAAAAAAAAAAAAAGAAGCTATTTTAAATGGGACTCTTTTAATTAATTTCATAAATGGACATCTTTTACTGGATCAGCTTTTCTTAAAACATGCCAAAAAAAAAAAAGAAGCTTGTATTTCAGCAGTTGAATTTCTCTCCCTTTCTTCCCCTCCCACTATGCAGACAATTTTACCCCCCTGCTTAGAGCAGTTGACCTGACTCTGAATTTTTTCTTACAGAATGAAGTGCCTTTTTGAATGTTATTTTAAAGATAAAAAAAAAAATTCATTTTTGTATAAGACGTATTTCCAGACATCTTTTAGTCTTGTATTGTCTAAATGCTTTAAAAAGGAAAAAGGAAAAAAAATTTTATAGAGCACTGTAATATATAACAGAGGAAAAAAAAGTTGAAACCAGGATGCTGGGTTCCTGTCTCCACAACGACATTTAGGTTGCATTACATTTTGTCACGCTTGGAAGGTTCAGGCGTTCCGTGGGAGGGGTGAGTTGGGTTCATTTACCTGGTTGTTCCACTGATGATGATGATGGTGATGATGATTTTGGGCGCAGTTTGGAACATATCTGCAGTTGCTTGAGCGTTAGGGAATGGTGGAACTGAGGAAACAAGGTGGCTGATAGACCTGAAGCACCTCCTCTTGTAGACAGATGAAGCTCTGTTGTCTCTGCTTACGCACAACTGCCATTGCCTCTCGATTTTTGGATAACCGTTATCTTGGGAGAGCGGGGAGGAGGAGATCTATTTATTAGTTTAAGGTTCTTTTCTCAAAAAAAAACCCGTCTGGGTAAGCTGGATCTGTGTTGAGCTGTTTGGAGTTCTTTTTTTTTCTTTTAATTGCTGCTACTGTATACTCACCAAATGGAGTTTGACCATCGGCTGTTATACTGTTTTTGCCACTGTGCCTGTGCTATGGAACATTTTCTGTAAGCTGCAAACTTGGGCAATAAATAAAATGCAGGCTTCATAACCCACCCCCATGGATTAATCCAATGGTATCTGAAATACCAGAGAGCTCAGTTAAAGGTGACCTGTAAAGGATATATTTTTTTTTTAATTTTTTTCTTTTTTTCAATTGGGATGAAACCCTCTCCTTTCTTTGGTATATAAAAATGCAAAAAAAGCATTTTGCTCACATCTCTGATTTGTATTTCTTTTTCTCCCAAGCTGTAAGGTACAGACTGGGAGGTGTATCAAGCTTTGCTAGAAGGGCACAAGTTACTAGCCTAGACTAAAATCTCTCCTCTGCCTTTGGAGTTGAGTTAGATTGATCTCCTGAGTTTGAGAACCTGCTTAGCATCTTCTGCAGTGTCAGAGGTGCTTTTTCAATTGAATAACTTTTAAATATTTTAAGCCTTTGAAGGAAAAGGCACACCTTTTCTTTTTTTACTTTTTCACCCCCTTTCCAGTGTCACCTTTTAATTATCCTCCACCCCAGAAATCTGCAAACATAAAAAGTGCAGCTGCGTTTGGCTGTCATCAGAGAAGACTAAATGGACTATTTGGTGCTTCTGATTAGCCTCGTGCTAAATTCTGAATTGTAGATCCCCCTTTGCCTTTTCTATTTCTCTCAAAAGACTTGGGGGAAAAAAAAAAAAAAAAAAAAAAAAAAAAAAGACAAACCCAACTTTTTTTGGCGATGGACTCGGCTCGTGATCCTCGTCTAAAACCATTGGTGAAGCAGCTTAACAACGTTCCCAGAAGGGCAGGCAGTGAGTAGGTTGTAGGTACAGTATAAAAGTGAGCAGCTGTGCTCCAGCTGTGGCTGCTCCCAGGGGTGTTTGGAGGCAGCCCCGTCACACTCTGTGTGAGTCTGTACGGCATCACCGTTTTGTTTCTTAACCAGCTGGCATTACCTTAGTACTGTACAATTCTGTGCCACAACAAAAGATTAAACTGTCAAACCTAAAATCTGGAAAAAACAACAACAAAAAAAAGCCTACTTTGTTTAAAAAAAAAAAATAAAAAAATGGAAAAGACAAAAAAAAAAAAAAAGAGAGACGTATGGATTCTGGTTAGTCCATCAACGTTCACTTTTCGGTTTAAGATTGTTTAATTTTTTTGTATTTGACTTTCAGAGTAATGAAAACCGTTAAGCTGCCAAAAAAAAGAAAAAAAAAAAAACGAAGTTTGTTCTCTGAGCAGTATTTTCAACTGCGTTTTGTGGCTTCTTCTGGGCTTCAGACGCAGTTTGCAGGGAAGTATTCAGGTTGTAGTTAGTCGTGCAGGTATGAGAGGAATGGCTGAAAAAAAAAAAAACAAAAACAAAACTCAAAGACTTTTCTCGCAAGCGTTAGACCAAACAGACAATAAATAACCCACCGTGGTGACCTGTTGTACGTGAGACAAACCATGGCATCCGTTTGCAATCTCTGAAAGCAGCGATTTCATGAACCAGTTGCCTTAAGTCTGTGAATGAATGTTGACTATTAAAAAAAGTGTCTTGTATTGTTCCAAAAATCCACATAGAAGGGGCAACTGAACTTCTGCACCAGCTTCTGGAGGAAGGGTTCTGATGGTGTTCTGTACAGCCGTACTTGAACTGTATTATTTTGGCTCTTAAAACCCACAAATTTAAAAAATTTTAAAAAAAAAAACCAAAACCAACTTATTAAAATAAGTTAGTTTTAGTTCAGCATTAAAATAACATTTTGTGACAAAGGCAAAAAACTTAGCCACAGCTTTGATCTCTTAGTATTAAGAGTATTTTCTGTAAGATTTCAGTAATTTTTTTTTTTTTTATTTTTTTAACCCACTTGGAGTGCTCTGCGATCAAGTTTGGACTCCCCTGTGTTACTCAGATTTGGCCAGAGGGATCAAACTGTCCTAGCTGGTTATTTTGACACTTATCATCGTACTTGAAATTTCAAGTGTGGAGTTTGCGTGGATATAAATACGCTCTATATTTAGTTTCTAGATTGTAACAAAGCAATATAGTTCTGTCCATAAAGTCAGATAATGGAATGTCTGTAAAATTTGCAATACGGGTATTTGATTGTATTTTAAATACAAGAGTTTAAAAACTAAAAATAGGGAAAAAAAAAAATTACTTGTTTCCTAAATCTCTTTGCATATTTTTTTGAAGTGCAGTTAGTGCATACAGGTCACCGGGGCTGTTGTAAACCCTGGGTTTCAATTTTATTTCTGGATATTATAGAAGTTACTAAAAAGTCTTTTTCCAGTTGGCCATCCTGTTCAGCTGAAGAGATGCTGCCTGGCCTGAAGTTCTGTTGTCCTTTTTATGTCGGGTTAAAACCGGGTTTTTTTGCCTGTATAGGTATTTTTGAATTAAGCTGTAAGGCGGGATTGCCTTAGATCCTATAAATTCAACTGAGGTGTTAACGATTAAATTGCCATTTGTAAACTAGGGCTGTGCGCAGAGTCCTCGTTAACAACCGCCAGGAAGCGCGGCAGGCTCGGAATGGGAGGTGGTAGCAAATGTACAATATTGCTGTGTTCATTTAGGTAGCTTTGGAAGAGTAATTTGTCTCTTTGTTTCGCCCTTTGGACCTTCATTAAACAGCGAAGTTCTAACATGGAAGAAGCTCAACACCTGGAGACGTGTTTTGGTTGTCGGTGTACGCAAATCACTTTCTTAACAGCATGATTTTGATTAGACTGGTTGGGGACAATAAAGTATCTAAATGACACCGGTGTGTGCTGATGTTGCAGCTTTTGAAATCTCAGTGTATCCAAAAAGACAAAAAAAAAAAAAAAAAAAAGTAGCTATATAAGTTCTGGAGACGTAAATCCTCTGTTTTACAGGTTGTTTTTAACCTAATAAACCACAGTACCGCACAGCCCTATTTGTAAAACAGAAACAAGTTTGTGCCTCTGATTTCCAAGGTGCTGTGATGTTTTTTGCCTTTGTGGGGCGAGGAGGGGGCAGGTGAGACTGGCGTGGGGCAATTGCTTCAGAATCTCTGGGTAACTATGCAAAACCAGCTGTCAGTTTTCTGTTTCACATGGAATTGTAAAATCCCAGCTGACTCTCTTCTATTTCTTGTTAAAGGTCTACTGGGAACTCCTTAACAGAGGAGTAAGCAATGGAAATGTTTCTTTCTTTCTTTTTTTCCTTCTTTTTGTTTTTTTTTTTTCCTTATGATGGAGCTGTTTACACTTTGATGCAATGAACAATCCAGCAATACTTGAGAAACACTACAGATACCATATGAGTGTTTGCAGGAGAGGGAAGTGTTGTCAATCAGGTATTGAATGGTTTCTTTACTGTCACAAATAAAAAATTTTAACAATATAGTTACTTGTGCATGTAATACTTCTCTGGGAAAAAGAAATTCTGCACTTCTTCAGTAAAAGGCACTACCCTAATTTGTCAGGGACTTTATTCCTGCTGATGCACATCCATGTTAAATCATAAAATCATCCATCTCTGTCCAACCCTCTTCCCCCTCTCCTCTTTTTAAGTCGTGTGCAGGACTCCTCAGTGCCTGCCCTGGCACCTGCTTGTGCAAACAGAGCTGATGAACTACTGATGAACTCTGCTAAATAAATTGGTGGCGACTCTTGCAGATGTTCCAGCTATTTAGATCTCTTGGATGAGATCATACAATAATTTGTTCAAGTCTCAAAGCTGTGTGACTTCTTTTGAAGGGCTTTCTTCAGCTACTTGAATAGCTGTTCTTAACATCACTGCCATATCCACATGAATATCTGAATAAAACACTTTATTTGGTTGGAAAATCTATTTTGGGACTTTTTATCTGACACAGTAAGACTTAGGCAGAGCCTTCCTTTCTAGGAAAAGGCACATATTATTGATGCTTTATGAGCAGAAAACCTCAGGCCTGTTGGAATAAGCAGCTGGCTCAAGATAGCACACTAGTTTTTCAATTAAAATTATTTTTTAGTTAGTCCTGTGATCAGTTGGAATGACAAGACTGCCTTTACTTTGTACTGGTGAGTCAGGGGGTTGATTTTTAAAAATTTTTATTTTAGGTTTGTTTTTTTGGGGGAGGGGGGTTATTTTGGGGATTGTTTTTTAGTTGTACCAATCTCCTTAGCTGCTACTTAGGATAAAGATGCCTTTTTTTTTTTTTTTTTTTTTTTTCCCACTCAGTAAAACAAGTGTCTCAAAATTCATAAAACAGCTCATTTATAGCAGTGAGAAGGATCCTTGTTGTCCTGTCCTGGCCGATTAAAACCGAGCACACCATGGTCCACATACTTAAACACTAAAAACCCTCCCATGTTTTCCCCCCATTTCACTGTGTTTTTGACTCAGAAGGAGAGCCACCCACTCTGAAATCCCCTGCAGGGTGGGGATAGGGCCTCTTCCAGGTGGGCTGCGCTCCAGGGGATCCTACAGTCTCCAGCAGGTTTTCCTGGCAAGCGACCCTCGCCATCCAGACTCCCCCTCAGCCCAGCTATGCTGGCAGGAGACCAGGCAGAGCTCCCCTGGACTCCTCTGGTTCTGCTGGAGCTACTGGTGAATAAATGATCTGTGGGTAATACATCGGTTTGGACAGGTTGGCAGGCTCAAACTTGGGAAGCTTCCCAGAAGGGTGTTGTTGGGAAGGGGCTGTGCTGAGGAGCGGGGTTGTCCGTAATTGCCCGACCCCAATTATCGGGCATCTCTGAAGCACAGGGCACGCACAGATGGGTGTGACTCTGCAGGGCAGGTCTCTGTGTCTGCAGTTAACACACTCTCCCAGATTCAAAAGCCATTAAAAGGGTTAGGTTTGGTCATTGCTTGGATCAGCAGCAAACTGGATTTGGGAGGCGCCGTGTCCGTGTCCCCCAGGCCTCGGTGGACCCGTCGTAGCTCCCACCGCTCTTGTCTGCGCACCCGACAGCCTTTAATTTTGCAGCAGCCCTTCGATTCAGGGATGTAAACACGCTTGGTCAGGATGGAAATTGCAGGAAAATGCTGGACAAAGGCAGGCAGAGCAGCTGGCACCCGCCAGCCTTGGCTGTCGTCTCGGGCTGGACTCCAGCAAGGACGAGGCTCCTGCTGCTGCTGCTGCTGCTTGAAGGCGGACAGAGGAGTCACCGCTCAGCCAGAAACACGTCACCCCCTCACAGAACCTCTGTTCTCCCAGATAATGAGGGTTGATCGTTTTGTCCCTACAAACTGCGATGTCACCGCCTCAGAATTCCCGGCGTCTCAATAAATGTTGCACTCGGAGGCTCGGAGGAGTTGCTGGCTTGACAATGGGTTGTTTTCTTTTGTCTGATTTTAATGAGCTTTTGTGATGAAAACCAAATTTCTTTACAGTGTAACCTTGTGATTTTTTTTTTTCATGCTTTGATTCAGTTTGACAATAAACTATCTGTGTTATTTTTTTTTCATCCTCTTCATGTCTGATGATGCATAGTTGAGGGCCGCTCCCAGGAATCCCCCTCTGTGCCCACATGGGGGAAACACTGGGAGGGGGAAGCAAAGACTTCAGAGAATCAGGCCAGAGAGTTCTCCTCATTCCATTCCTCTCACAACTCTCTGGACTTGCTGGGCTTTAATAAAGATGAAAGCTCTGACTGCTGAGAATCAAGGGCTCCTTCCTCTAGCAGCATATTTGGCAGGTGGGTTCAGTTCCTGTTCTTTTTGGTTAACCTGCTGATGTTTGAATAAAGCCATCTTGCTGCTCCCAAAGCCACTAAAGCCTGTGCGTAAGCGGGAGCTGAGAAAGGAACAAGATCCTGGATTCTGGGAGCAGATAAGGAAGTGGGAGAAAACTCTTGGGGGCTGGTGGGGTTTCCTGCACAACCCCCTGTCAGTTCCTGTGTGCAGCACCACTCTTGTGGTGCTCACAGCACCCCTGAAGCGGTGAGTGGGTTCCTGTCCTGGGTTTGTAGGGATAAAGGGGCCTGAGAGCGGATCAGGAGGCACATCCCTGCCTTTCCTCCAGGCTGCAGTGGCATCTGTCTCCATAATTTTGGCAGTGCCTGTTGGGAGTGCTGATCCATCCGTGGTGATGGTGAGCTGGTGACCTGGCACGGGTCCTGGGTCAACCAGTCTGTGGACAAACAATGTTCATCCCCTAAGGTATCGGGAGGACCTGGGGGAGCCACCTGGTGCTTGAGTTGGATTGGTTCAAGGTGCTTTTCATCTGACACGTGTCTCCAAGTTAGGTTTGCATTCAAGGGTCATGCTGAAGAAGCTGGGTGTAAGTTAAGCATTTTCTGGAAGACACAAACCCACAGAAATACAGAAGTCTGACGTTTTCATGTGTGTTTTTAACAGGAAAATAATTTTATAAAATGCCTTTAAGTTTTTTTCCTAGCCTCTACGTAATCTGGTTACTTCGTGCTGTACCCTGAGAGGCCGAGAACCACAGACTCGTGCAAAATTTATCTGTGGTGTTTTTTGTGCCTCTGAAATGTTCAGGCATAAAGTCTGATGTCTTGGGCCATTTTGTTCCTTCGCAAGCAAATGCAATCAGAAGAAGAGAGGAAAATTTTTGTCAAAGGCCTGAGCCTGTTTAATCACAGAATTATAGAATCATTTATGTTGGAAAAGACAGCTGAGTTGGGCCAGGTGCTGTGTAGGAGTAGGGCTGAGACTGAGCACATACAGGTCTCGCCCTTGGCTTTGTATCACAGGGCTGTAGCTCTGTGACCCTTAATATTCCTTTTAATATTTTCTCTGAGTAGAGAGCAGAGCCTTGATTTAATTGGAATCATCTGTAACAGTGTGCCAGCCATCATCTGTAACACATCTTTGTAACTCAGGTGGGGCAGGTTCAGATGAAGAATCACCCACTGGCCTGATCTCCGATCTGCTGGATGGATCTCGAAATAACAACTGGAGGGATCAGGCAAATATTCGGAATGATGATGGCTGTGGTTGGAAAATGGTCGGCCTGTTGCACCCCGGAGGGAGGGATGAGCAAGGCAGGGAGGGCAGGAGCTGGGGGAGGACTGGAGGGGACTTTCTGGCTCTGCACTGCGGTGGGCCAAGCCATGGCATGGTCGAGCAGTGGGTGCACTCGGCTTTGGTGCATCCATGATCCAAGTTTCTGGAAAATGAGGAAGGTTTTAAAGGCTCGGGCCATGCAGGGCTCTGTCACACCACGAGATGGTGCAGCTGTGCAGCGCTGGCTTTTAAAGGCACCGTAGAGGGTTTTTTTAAAGGCGTTATCTCGAATGAAAGCATCACAACTTTGAATATCTGAGTCCCCTGCCAGGGCTGCACTTCACAGGTCCACGGATTACATCTTCCTTCAGGCAGAAATCTTTCAGAGGCAATTTCTTCATTTGCCCCATGAATGCCGAGTTTCCTTTGCAAAAGCAACCTGTGGCCCCCACACCTGAATACAGGTAAGTATTCTTGATAATTTTAGTGTCTTGGTTATTTTTTTCTTCCACAAAAATGCAGAAACGTGATCAGCACATGAAAAAAAAAGAAGGAGGAAAATCAGCATTTCTCAAATAGTTGAGTTCTAAATTATGTCCTTTACATCTTCCCTAGTGTGGTAAACCCTTTTTCCCTCCAAGGGCTCTGCTGCTCACCTTTTCCTCTCTTTCCAAAGCAACATCGTTTTAAGCTGGGATTTGGCTGAAGTACGTCGGGAGGACTGTGGACAAATGTTGAGTCTCCAGGAGGGGGAGGAAGAGCAAGAAGAAGGCGGTGTGGTGCCAAGCTGGCAGGTGTGTAACAAGGCACCTCTCCCCGCGCCAATTCCGCTTCCCTGCCGTGTGTGCTGAGCAGCCGTGTGAGACCTGGGCCAGAGCACGGGGGTGA